GAAGGGGAGGGGAGGAAAGGGAGGGAAGGAAGAAGAGGGGAGGGGAGGAAGGGAAGGGGAGGAAGGGGAGGGGAGGGGAGGAAGAGGAGGGGAGGAAGTGGAGGGGAGGAAGAAGAGGGGAGGGGAGAAGGGGAGGGGAGGAAGGGGAGGGGAGGAAGAAGAGGGGAGGGGAAGAAGGGGAGGGGAGGAAGAAGAGGGGAGGGGAGGAAGGGGAGGGGAGGAAGAAGAGGGAAGCAAGGGGGAGAAGGGACATTATTCCTCTTTTTTCTTGTTATTCAGCTATCTCAGTCGTGTCCAACTCTCTCTGAGCCCATTTGGAGTTTCCTTGGTGAATGTCCTGGAGAGGTTTGCCGAACTTTCTCCAGTTCATTTTACAGATGAAGAAACTGAGGTAAACACAGCTAAGTTACATGCCTACGGTCAAACAGAGAGTAAGTGTCTGAAGACCTGATCTGAATTTAGGAAGATGAGTCGTCCTGTCTCGAGGCCCAGCACTCTATCCACTGGGCCACCTAGCTGCCCATACTGGAAAACGTAGTTCATGTAAAAACACGACAGCAATAACAATGTATTTACATACACACACGTATACCTACATACACACACATACTTACTGGTTCCACAAACTCAAACTTTTTCCTTTCTTGGATCTCTTGAAGCTTGCACACATATTCCAGAGACAGCTCATAGAAGTGTTTTCGATTCTGTTCCACTTGGATGTCGGCCTGTATTCAAAGAATGCAGATGGGTAAAATTACAGACGCTGGAAAGATGTTCTCCATATGATAAGATGGACTGACCACACAGGCTTTTTTTTTTTTTTAAAGACTGAACAACAAGGTTCCAGGCATCAGAGAAACAACCTCACAAATAATACACCCAATCCCTCTATAAACGTGGAGATCACGTACCTCAATTAACCAACGCTCTGAGCACAAAGCTTCTTTTAGCGAAGCTGGCCTGGGCGTGGAGGAGAGTTAGGGGATGCCAAGGTGTGGCTACGATGGCACTGTCCCAGTTACAGTCCTCTTGCAGACAAACCAAGGCTCTGCTGAAGGCAGCGTGAACTCCCAGACACCTGATCCCCCCGATTCCCTACGACCAGGCACTGCCCTCTGAGATTATTTCCCTTCTGTTCTGCATATAATGTTTTTATAGTATTTTATTTTTCCTTATTACATGTAAAGACAAATTTTAACATTCATTCAAAAATTCTGAGTTCCAAAATTTCTCCTTCCCTCTCTCTCTTTCCCTTTCCTAAGATAGTAAGCAATTTGATATAGGTATATATAAGTAATCACGAAAAACATATTTCTATATAGTCATGTTGTGAAGAAAAAGATCAAAAGGAAAAGAACACACACACATATACACACACAGAGTAAAAAGAGTATGCTTCAATCTGCATTCAGATTCACTAGTTCTTTCTCTGGATGTGAATAGCATTTTTCCTTATCAGTCTTTTGGAATTGTCTAATCATTGTTTTCCTGGGAAGAGCTAAGTCATTCGTAGTTGACCGTTGCACAATGTTGCTGTTACTTTATACAATGTTCTGGTTCTTCTCACTTCACTCAGCAACAATTCATGTAAGTCTTTCCAAGTTTTTCTGAAATCCACCTGCTCATCATTTCTTATAGCACAATGATATTCCATTACATTCATATACCACAATTTGTTCAGTCATTCTCCAACTGAAAGGCATTCCCTCAATTTCCAGTTCTTTGCCACCACAAAAAGAGCTGCTAGGGGCAACTAGGTGGTACAGCTGGCCCTGGAGTCAGGACTTGAGTTCAAATCCAGCCTCAGACACATAACACTGTGTGGCCTGGGTAATGTCTGTGTGACCCTGGGCAGATCACTTAACCCCACTGCCTAGCCAAAAAAAAAAAAAAAGAGCTGCTATAAATATTTTTGTACAAATAGGTCCTTTTCCCTTTTTCTTTTAATCTCTTTGGGATACAGATCTAGTAGTGGTATTGCTGGATCAAAGGGTATGCACAGTTTGATTACTATTTGGCATAGTTCCAAACTGCTCTCCAGAATGGTTGGATCAGTTCACAACTCTATCAACAGTGTATTAATGTCCCAATTTTCCCACATCTTCTCCAAAATTTATCATTTCCCTTTTCTGTCATATTAGCCAATCTGATAGGTGTCAGGTGGCTTTAATTTGCATTTCTCTAATAAATAGTGATTTAGAGCATTCTTTCATATGACTATACATAGCTTTGATTTCTTCATCTGAAAACTGCCTGTTTATATCCTTTGACCATTTATCAATTAGGGAATGACTTGATAAATTTGACTCAGTTCTCTACATATTTGAGCAATGACACCTTTATCAGAGGCATTTGCTATAAAAATTGTTTCCCAGCTTTCTGATTTCCTTGTAATCTTCACTGTATTGGTTTTGTTTGTGCAAAAACGTTTTCATTTGATATAATCAAAATTATCCAGTTTACATTTTGTAATGTTCTCTATCTCTTGTAAGTTCATAAACTCTTCCTTTCTCCATAGATCTGATAGGTAAACTATTTCGTGCTCTCCTAATTCACTTACGGTATCACCCTGTATGTCTAAATCGTGTACCCATTTTGACCTTATCTTGGTATATGGTGCAAGATGCTGATCCATACCTAGTTTCTGCCATACTGTTTTCCAGTTTTCCTAGCCATTTTTGTCAAATTTTGAGTTTTTGTCCCAGAAGCTGGGGTCTCTGAGTTTATCAAACACTACATTACTATGGTCATTTACTACTATGTCTTGTATACCTAATCTATCCCACTGATCTACCATTGTATTCCTTAGCCAGTATCAGATAGTTTTGATGGTTACTATTCTGCATATATGAACACAAGTTTTTGAGGTGTCATCTCCTCCATTAGAAATTTAGTTTCTTGTGGACAAAGATCCTATTTTCTGCCTTTCTTTGTACACCAAATGATTAGCATAGTAAGCACTTAATAAATGCTTGTTCACTGGCTCATGTACCAACTGGTCCATAACACTAGGCAGGGAACTGCCCCAAAGAGGTGGGAGTTAAACCCAAGTGAGATAAAAGAGCAGAGAAAACATGGCAGGCTTCATCTGGAGTAAAGAAAAGGAGGGTTCTATCACCTCCACCTTCTTAAATGCGGCCACCGCTCACCACTATCCCTACCCCTTCAGAAGTACAAGTGACCATTTGCTGAAATATTGAAAGGCTCTATATTTCAGATAAGGCTTGGATTAGACAGCTTGTGAGGTTCAGCCTCGTACAGCGGAAAGAACATTGGCACTGTAGTGAGAGGACATTAATTCAAATTCTACCTGTTACTACCATTTTGATGATGGGCAAAATTATTTAAAGTCTCTAGGTCTCAGTTTCCTTGGCTATAAAACAAGGGGAGGGGGTAGATGGGAATCTGAGGTCTTGATCTATGATCCTATGGTAATATCCCTTCAGAATTATATCTGCCCTGAGATTAGCTCACTTGCTTCCTTTATTACAAAGTTCAAATTTCCTCCTGATAAGGGTTTCTTTCCTCCCATGACCCGCTTCAGAATCAAACACACTCATACAGCTTTCTTCCTTGGTACTTTTTTGTTAAAAGCAGGCATATAATTGTCCCAAAGATTTTTTTTTTTTGGCTAGGCAGTGAGGTTAAGTGACTTGCCCAGGGTCACACAGCTAGTAAGTGTCAAGTGTCTGAGGCTAGATTTGAACTCAGTTCCTCCTGACTCCAGGGTGGTGCTCTATCCATTGCATCACCTAGCTGCCCCTCAAGGATTTCTGAACAACTATCACACTGACAGAGCACTGTCTCACTTTTAAGCAGAAAGGTATTAGTAAATGTTTAACAATTGGTTCTCCAAAAAAAAAAAAAACAGGACACACTTTTACACTTAACCTGCATTATCAACATTTTCTTCATTACTTTAAGTCCAGACAATTAACAAAACAAAAAAAATCAAGCCCTGATTTCTAGCATTTGCTGATTTCTGAATTATAACATATATAATTCTGATATTATACACACACACACACACACACACACACACATATATCTAAAATCCCCTGGTATACATAATTCTGATTTCTGTAAATGCTCACGCTGAAAATTTATCAGCATCAGCACACCCCTGCTTATAAGGCACTTTCCTCTCAAAACTTTGAGGGCTAAGAATTAAATATTATTACATGAATCTTGGTGAGGAAACAGAAATGTTAAGTAATAGAGATAGGTCTTTTTATTCAAATTCCAATATTCTTCCATCTTAATTGCACTGTCTCAGAATTCATATAATTCAGTCTTTCCCATCAGGTCATCTATGTTGTGAATGGACAGAATAAACATTCTGTACTGTTGATTCTCTCGTCCTCTACCTCCTAGCCAGATAGGCTTTCCATATAATTCAGGGGACAGGGATGTGGACCCAGAAGAAGAACAAAATATGGGGGGTGGACAGGAAAGAGGAGACCATGATTCAGGGAAGGGGCGGGGCATATTAATTAGATGACTCATTTTTCCTTAAGAAACACGGCCTGTTGTGATTGCAAATGTTTTGTGAACCAATGAGAATTTTCTATGACCAGAGCCAACACTGATTGTGTGCAATGTCTGCCTAAAACACAAATTCCCACATAGAAACCTTTTAAATTATTTGAACATTGGAAACAAGTTTCCACTAAATCTTTCAACAAGCTATATATCCCTAGTTCCTTCAGTTACTCCATAAATACCACGGTTAGAAGTCTCTGCGCTTTCAAATTTGTTCCAGTTCATCAACGTCTCTCCCTCTTTAAATCTCAAGCATCATTCCATTTGGCCTGTCCTATGTACCTACTCAGAGTCTAATTTTAGGAGTCACTTATTTGTACACACCTCTGTTCCCTCTTTCCCTCCCAACCTTACCAGATTAACAAGTTCATTGGTGTCAAGACTGATGTCTGTATCCTGAGAACATCTGTATAGAATCTTGCCCATATGTGGCTCTTAATAAATGTTAAATTGAAATGCAAAGTGCTACCCTAAACAAAACCAGTATTCCAGGGGAAGTCTGACCTGGGCCCCCAAAATGTTAACTGCCCCTCTTCTGTACACTGTGCTTCAGTTCAATGCACTTTGGGGTCACATTAATTTTTTTTGACAATCACATCACCCTGCTGACCTTTTTGAGTCAAATAAAGCTACTACCAAAGCATCTTGGTGGCCACAGTGGCTAGAGCTCTGTGCCTAGAGTCAGAATGACCTGAGTTCAAATGTGACCTCAGACATTTGCTAGCTGTGGGACTCTGGGCAGGTCACTTAATCTGTGCCTGCCTCAGTTTCTTCAACTATAAAATGGGGATAACATAATAATGTATAATATTATATAATAAAATATTATAATAATGTCATATCGTATGATAATATGTTATAGAATAGAATAATAATATAATGATAACCCAACTCCCAGGTTGTTGTGAGGATAAAATAAGGTAATATTAGTAAAGTGCTTAGCACAGTACCTGGCACATAGGAGGTGCTTAATAAATGTTTATTCTCTCTTTCTCTAATTATATACATTTCTCCAACTCATTCATTCATTCAACAAGCATGTATTAACTGCAAAACACTTCACAAATATTATCTCATTTCATCCTCACAACAACCCTATAAAGTGAGTGCTATTATTATTATCCCTATTTCACAGGTGAGGAAGGAAGACAAAGGTTAAGTGACTTGCCCAAGGCTACTATCTGAGGCCCATTCTGAACTCAGGTCTTCCTGACTCCAGTTCAACACTCCATCCAATGTGCCACCTAACAGCCAGGAATGGCAAAGTTCTCTCTTGCCATCTCTTCAATTGTTCTGAGTGCCAGTTTTACCCTTCCTGGTATGAAGGACATTCTTCCTGATAAAGAGTATGGAAGCATAATAGTATGTAAATTGATGTTTTTTTTCCTTTCATCCTTTAGTTGATATTAATCTATCTGCCCTAAGCAATAGGTCTGACCCTTCCTCATTCTTCTTCTTTCACCTAACAGCATCCCAATTCCTCTTGATCAATCTGCCTGTCCTTTAGTTTCTCTGGATGTACCAAAGAAGTGACTGATATGTTGACTAAAACTAATAATAATAGTAATAATAATAATTAGCTTACATATGCTGTAAGGTTTACAAAGCATTTTACATATATTATGTCATTTAATCCTCCTACCAACCCTGTGAGGGAGGTGCCTGTTTTATCCCCATTTCATAGTGAGGAAACGGAGGCAGAGAGATGCTGACTGACCTATCTAGGGTCAAACATCTAGTAAGTGTCTAAGGCAGGATTTGAACTCAGATTTTCTTTAGTCTAAGTCTAACTTTATCCACTAAGCCATATCCCTGGGTAGCTAAACCAGCCCAACACTCCCTGGAATTAGCCACCTCCCGAGTTTACTTCCACCCAGCTGGGGCCCCTGCCAAAGAAACCATCAAAAGATTCTTAAAACAGAGGAAAATTCTTCTCATCACTATGTGATGTGTAGTGAGAGGAAGAGGGAAGTAGGACTGATGCCAAAGCAGAAAGGTAGGAGATGTGCTCCTGAAATTGCCTGGGCAAAACAAAATGCTAATACTGATGAGGTCACTAACCCCTCCTAGAACACTGCGTCCATGAGAAAATACATCCTCAGTCTCAAGTGACTCACGTTAACTTTGAAAACACAACCCATTTAAGACACCAGGGGCTAACTGGCTAGGTGTGCACAAAGAGTATATTATATGACACGGAGAAGATACTAATCAATAATAATACTTTTTCATATGATTTCAAAGCGAGAATTGACTACTGGAGACAATATCTGAGCTACGAAATAACAAGCATCTACTTTAAAAAGACTAATGAAAATAACAGGATAAAGAGGACGTGATGGGGTTTTTTCCACTCCTAATCCAAGTTATTCCCATCCTTGTTTGACTCGTTTTAAGAAACTCAACTTATATTATTGGAGAAGCATGGGAAAAAATGAAAACACTGCTGAGACTAAGGAAAGCTATTAAGTGATTTGGTTTATAATCTTTTTATAATCATCTCTTTTGTTACTGTGAGTAAAGATGTCCTCTCATTACAATTTATAAGAATTAAATCGTACACAGATAATAATAAAGTCAGAATTTCTTTGGCAGGAGGACTAAATTATATTATATTTAAGGTAATTAAAATACAATTGCGAAACCCAAGGGTCTCCAGAAGATTCAATAAAAGAACGGCTACAAATAGTTTCAATTTCTGTAGAACTGGGCATGGAAATTTTTCAAAATAGGAATGATTGGGACTATTAGTTCTTTATATTCCCATAATAAAACTTCAGAATTCTGATCTGAGCATCTAGATAAACAAATAGGCAAGGATTTTCTTCTTTCCCAGATTAAAGCATACACCTACATTTGGTTTATGCAGTGTGTTTTGACGATTGGGAAGTGATGTTGTACAAAGAAGAAAGAATGATACAGCGAGGTCATAGGATTTGGGTTTGAATCCTGACAATGCTACTTACACCCCAACCCCCACCCCCGGGAAGTTAACAAACCTTTCTAGGCTTCTGTAAAATGAGTGGATTGTTTCATACCCTCTGAAACCCTTCTTCATTCCAAGGCAGTCATTTACGTGGATACAAAAGTGTGGCTTCATTTGAGAAATTACAGAGAGTATGCCTAAGTCCATCTTAGCATTTTGGTATTTTAAAAGAAAGCGTGTGGGCAGGATGTGTATGTGTGAATACGGTAATGATACGGATCAAAAAGAAGAAAAGAAGAACCATCCAACAAGTGAGAATTCAAGTTATTTCTTTAGTCTTTAAATATGACCTTTGTCTCCAACCAGTCTAAGAAACATCCAGTGTTCATCTTCTCATACATTATTTACCAAGCTTTCAAAAATATGAGCTGACAGAAGTTAGAAACCCCCCTAATGGGGGTTTGAAAGCCACCAAGAAACACAAAACCTGATATTTAAGCTGTGAATGATGACAATTGGCAATATGATAGAACTTTTTTGTGCCCCATTAAAAAAAAAATTCCAAGTGAAGACGTTAAAGATTTGACAGCTCACCGGATTTCCTCATTTGATAGATTTTCTGAAATCCAAGTTACAACTGAGTTTTATGCAAACACAAATAGCATCTCTTCACAAATGCACTTAGGTGCACCTGCAATGGGGACAGGATCAAACAAGGCTAGATTGAGAGATGGAAGGGACATAAGTCAAGGAAGCTCGACCCTGTTTATTTTACATGTGAGAACAATGAAGCCCAGAGAGGTTATATGACTTGTCCTAAAGGACACAGACAATAAATGAGGGAGTGGAGATTTGAACTCTGGGTCTTTTTGAAAATTCCAAAAGAAAAAAACTCTTCTTTTTTGTTTTCCCTTAGGGAAGCAAAACAATTTGGCTGTCATGGAATAGATGCTAAAGAGCTGGCTTCAGAGCCAGAAAAAAATGACTTCTAAGGCCATTTCTGACACATAGGAGCCATGTGACAGTCACTAACCCTCTTGGTGCCCCCAGGAAATTCCCTATGACTAAGAAATTCAAAGAGAAGGAGTTTCCTCACTGAGAGTTAGTTCCCCATACCAAAGAAATGGTGGGTCCAATCCCCACCCCAAAAAATGAAGCATGGTATGAGGAAACAATTGTCAGGGAAAAAAAGTATTAGTAATTTTTTTTTTCATTTAAGTCTTAAAAAGGTTTTTTTTAAAAAAAAAAAACTTTCCAATACATAGTCTAATCAAATCTTTCAAAGGGGAAGGGGGAGAAATAAAAAGTATTAATAATTTTTTTTTCCATTTAAGTATTAAAAAGGTTAAAAAATATTTTCAATACATAGCCTAATCAGATATTTCAAAAGGGAAGGGGGAGCACAGAAACACAAAAATTCTCCCAAGATTACTGGAATTGTTTTTAGCTTTATCCCTTAAAGGGGAACTATCTTTGAAGCCATTGGCAGCTCCCCAGATTTCAAAGTCAAACACTAAAACATATGAAAAAAGAAAATACAGGTGACTTGAAAGATGAAAAGAAAATGGTGGAGACAAAGAATAAAGGCTACTTTTGATTCTCCTAAAAGCCTGACTTAATTCTGGCTACTCTGGGTTTCAGGCCACGGAGAATTTCTCATGACTAGCTCCCTAAAAACTAAATAGTGCTCCCACTGTTATAATTAATCAGCTAAGAAGAATGTTCTCAGAGACTTCAGGTGAAGATGGCAGCATGACAATTAATGGAGACCAGCCCGGCTCTACCACATATATTCCAGTAATAATCTAAAAAGGGCATCAGATCAAATGCGAATCAATAAATGCAAACAGAAACATCATCTGGATTAGAGCTTCACCCAAAGACACCAACAATGGAAGGAGTGTCTCAAAAGAAAGCCAGAGCAAGTTGACAGCTGTGCCATGACTGGTACAAGACATATAAACAAAAGAATATACACATACCTCTTAATTTTTTAAAAAGAATATTCTTTCTTAGTGGTTTTAGCTCCTGAATCCTAAGAGCCCTTCTATCAATCAACAAACATTTACAAAGCACCTAGTATGTGTCAGGCACTGTGCTAAGCACTGGGGATACAAAAAGACGCAAAAGATAGTCCCTGCCCTCAAGAAGCTTACAATCTAACAGGGGAGATAACATGCAAACTAATATATACAAACAAGCTACATACAGGATAAATACAAAATAATTAACAGAGAGAATGCACTAGAATTATGTGCATTTTAGGTCAATTTCCCTATAAACACATCTGAGAAGCTGTTTACTGGGATGTCTCATAAAACATCATTGTATCTTTTCTTTCAACTTACTAGCCTCTGAATTTATTTTTATTTTGAAAAACACCCAGCACAGCCAATATTTTCCTTCTTTATAAACATACATAAGCACTAGCAGAGCTAAGCACAAAATGTTCTGCAGATTTATTTGGCATCCTTTTTCCCCTGAAAAAGACATCCCTCTTTCTTCTGTCCCTGGTGATGATTCATTATTGACAACCTCAAGTTTTCACATCATCTACACATTTATAGTTCTAAGCACTGGGAAAGGTTTATTTTACTTTCAAAAGAAAAATCACAAACAGAAGTAACTCAACCATTTGTTTAGTTCTTGGAATATAATGGGAGAGAAATGAAGAAATACCTCTTGCAAATGAGCATCTTTCTTCTTAGCTGAAAGGTTCAAATGCTTATCCAAAAGGCTATAGTTCTTTTCTGTCTCTTTGTCAAACTTCTTTTTTTCCTCCTATAAATTAAAAAAAGAGATGAGGACAATTAAGTAATTTTTTAAAAAATCCCACGTGCCACAGAAGTGAAAATGTAAAATATCTGAAAACAAAGTATGACCAAAGCTGACGAAGGTTGCTGCAAATCAATTAGAGAATGCTTATTTTTACTCAAGTCTTGGATAATCTATCACCAACAACTCTAGGACTGAAATCCTTACTATTCCTTTCCTTTAAGAGGCTTCTTTTTACATGTGAACCAATGGTATTTATTAGTTCACCTTCCTTTCATTTAAACCTGACCATGATATTTCAGTTTGGCATGGAAGTGACATTAGATTCTTCAAGACTTTCAAGATTTCACAGGTGCTACCAAAGCTCAAAAAGCTTTGAGAGAATGAACCAGGTAACAGGTTGGTTGTATATCCATCCTCCAAGCACCAATTCAGCTAAGTTGGAACGGCTTGTTACCAGACTGGCCTCAGAGCACGGGATGAAGAAATCTTAGGGCATTATCGACTTAGGTAGCAACGGGGTGTAGCAGATAGGTGTTCCTGACTCCAGGCCCAGTGCTCTAAGTTCAAATCCTGCCTCAGGCACTTGTGGTGTTAGGAAAGTGATTTAACTTCTGTATGCCTCTGTTTCCTCATCTGTAAATCGTGGATAAGAATAGTACCTATTACACTGGGTTGTTGTGAAGATCAATTAAGATAGTATTTTTAAAGCACTTAATAAACCTTAAAAGTGATATGTAGATGCCAGGTAACTACTGAAGACCAGTGTTGGTGGAGACAATGCCAACAAAATTACAGATACTTCAAATACTCCTATTTCCTCGCTACAAGAATTGAGGCTCTATTCTACTTACAGAATCACAAAATTTAGGGCTAGACAAGACCCTACGGGCCATCTAGTCCAGCCCCTTCAGTTTACAGATTAAGAAATCGGAGATCATAGAGGGTTGTGATTGATCAAGGGTCGTGCAAGAAGTAATAAGCAGAGATAGGAGGTGAACCCAGGTTTCTCAGACCCTGAACCCCACATTGCCTCCTCTACACTGATAGTCCTCATGCCATGTAAAAATGAATGTAGTGTACATTATAATAAACTGTCAATTATAATAAATTTATTATTATAATTATATATTATTGTATAGTTTATTATATTTATTTTATTATTTTATTCATTATAATTTATTATATGATTAATTCTGTTATATATAATATTATATATAATTTATGTGTTAATATTATATTTAATATAATTAATATCTTATTAATTTATTACTGTATAATATACAGTAATATGATTTAATATAATATATTGTATTATATAATATATATCATTATATAATATATAGTTTATATAAATAAATATAATATTATAATATGATTATAATAAACAGTCAATAAACTGTTTATTAAGTGCCTACAGCATGCCAGGCACTGGGGATGCAAAGACCCTGCCCCGGAATTTACATTAACAAAAACAAACTTTGTGTAGGTAGGAAACAAAAATAAGACTGATTTAAAATGAAAAGTGATTTTGCTGGTTACTGTGACCATAAACAAGACCTTGACCTCTCCCACTCTCACTCTGTTCCTCATTTACACAAAAGGGATGATAATTAATACTTCAAGTGCCTACTTTCCAAGGCTGCCACTAAGCTCAAATGAGATAAGACAAATTAAAAATTTTACAAAGAATAAAGCACTGTACAGATATGTCCAAAAAAATGAAAAAGTTATAGGAAACATTTTGAAAACATTACTCTCATAAAGTTACTCTCAGGCCACACATTGTTCAGTTGTTTTAGACACGTTTGACTCTTTGTGATCCCATTTGGGGTTTTCTTGGCAAAGATACTAAAGGGGTTCGCCATTTCCTTTTCCAGCTCATTTTATAGATAAGAAACTGAGGCAAACGGGGCCTAAGTGACTTGTTCAGGGTCACACAGCTAGTAAGCATCTGAGGCCAGGTTTGAACCCAGGAAGACTTAGGCTTGGCATTCTATCCACTGACACACCACAGCTGCATAAAAATATACAAAGGAGCTATAATTTCCTCAGATCTCTCTCCACTTACAACCTGTAATTTAGCAATTCAATCTTACGTAGTTGCTCAATATTCAGAAAGACTATGCGTCTTGTTCTAATAAGTGTTAGGGAGGAAATCTTCCTGACTCTGAAGCCACCATTCCTGCAACACCCTCTTGCAATACAGTTAACAGTACACCAGAATACAGGAATGAGTGAAGGAATAAATGCAAAAGCATTTTTAAATTGCTTACTATGTGCAAGAACTGTGTAGAGTAACTGAAATATAAGTAAAAAAATTTTTTAATTTTTAAAAAATGTTTAAATTAAAAAAAAAAAAAAGACAATTGTACTCCGAAAGAACTCCCCCCTGAAGTCAGGAGGACCTAAGTTTAAATCCGGCCTCAGACACATAAACACTCACTACCTGTGTGACTCTGGGCAAGTCACTTAACCTCAATAGCCTCATATAAAGGGAAAAAAAAAAGAACTACCCCTCTATTTGAAGAAGATGAGATAAAAAAAAAAAAAGATCAGTTGCAGGGCAAGCGAAAAGGCCTATTAGTCTTAGAAGTTTAACAGAGGGTTGAGGTCAGCAGGTCTGGCAGGTGCACTAGCAGATCAGACAACAGGACCTGGAGGTCTAAAGGGCATAACAGCAGGTCATGTGTAAAGATCCTGAGGACTGCAGGATGCACACCATGCAGGATGCACAATCTCATGACTGATCAATCCTACCGTCCTTCTTTCTTGATCTCTTATTTGATATTTTCTGTAATAGATGTAGCAAGATGGCAGAAGGGCCTAAATGTCTGGTGATATTGCCAAATGTGTACTGACTGTCGATATTTATAAAAATTATTCAGGTATTGCCCTGAACTGGGTTAAATATGACCCCTTTAAGGAAAAACAGAACAAGAAAGTGAACTGTTAAAATACACAGGCTTTCCCTACAGCGACTCTGTTCAACTTATTAATAGTTTTAATAAACATTTATCGAATGCCAAGGAGGGTGTTCTGTTCCTCCTGTTTTCAAAACGTTCCTTTGACTTTACCTCATGTTATACCATTTCCAGGAATACAGAACATTCTCTTCCTTATTTCCAAACTTCTACTTTCCTAACTCAAAATAAAAAGCAATTCCAACCTTTCCTGGAATGTTTCTTTTTCTTGTGCTAGCTGACCCCTGTATTTTAGTACTACTTCTTTATTTTTATTTCTCCTATATTCCCTTTATCTAACAATGGTGGGGGGGGGTGGAGGGAGAAAGCAAGGGGATGGATCAAGTGAGAGATTTTTTAGGAGGAGGGAGACATGGATACATTTGTAGGCAGTATGGAAGCAGAAAAAGACAAGAAGAGATTGATGTAAGTAGAAAAATTAGGGATACCAGAGGAGGCAATCTACTGGAAAAGACAGGATGGAATGGGATCACTTGCGCGTGTAGAGGGGTTGGCCTTGGGAAGGAGAAGGGCCATCTCATTATATGAGACAGGGGTGAACAAGGAAACATTAGCAAAGGCATCTGGGAGATGGAGGTTGAGGAGGGGAGAAGCGGAAGCTCTTCAGTCAATGGTCTCTATTTTTTCAATGGAATATGATACGTTTCTCAAATAAGAAGGGAGGAAGGGGGACTATGGAAGATTTGAGGGTGGAAGAAAAGGTTTGGAAAAGCTACTTTGGGGAGTGGGACAATGAGTCAATAAGGTGGGTATAAAAAGATTTGCCTATTGAAGTGAGGACCTGTTGAGATGACATAACATAAATCTGTAGTGGACCCAGTCAGCACAATTTTGTGACATTCTCTAGCTTCATTCAGCAACACATGAGTAGGAGTAAGAGCAGAAAGTAGAGGGACTCATCCAGGGCTGAGGGCGACAGTACAAGCAGGCAAGAGACCCAACAGAAGAAGACAAGGTAGAGCTGAACTGGCTCAATAAGGGGTCAAGATGGGAAAGGAATGAAGGAGAAAAAAAAATGTGGGGGAGATGGGCTGGGAAAGAATTAGGTGGTCATGGGATTGAGGAATCACGGTGTGGACAAAGAACAAGGTTTGGGGTTTCAAGACAGAGGGAGAAGTAGAGTGATAACACATTGTGATGAAAAGGGAAAATTTCAGAGTTTATAAACCTGAAGGTGGAGCATTGTGGGTGATGGCAAGTCGAGGATACGAACATCTCCGTCTGTAGCTAAGGCAGGGTGAAGAGTAGGTCACAAGAAAAAAGCATGCTGAAAAACAGGGAGATAAAAATGTTTGAGGGGATATTCATATGTATACTGAAGTCCCCTAGCACGAGGGCAGGAGTTGGGGAAGAGTGAAAGATTGCAAGCACTGGACTTGTTGAAGAACGAAGGGAGTCCATTGGACAAAAATTGCTGGAAACACTGGAAAAGAGTTCGGCAGAAACTATGCACAAACCAATACCTCATGCCATATACGAGATAACATCAAAATGGCTAAATGATTTAGACACAATGGGGGATGTCATAAGTCAACTGGGGGAGTGTGGAAAAATGCATGCACTTGTCAGATCTAGGGCTAAGGGGAGAGTTTATGACCAAACGAGAGATAGCGAAGGTAATTTTGACTACATGAAATTAAAAGGCTTTTCACAAACAAACAATGCAATAAAGATTAGAAATAAGGCAAAAAAATGAAGGACATTTTTAGAGCAAGTTTCTCTGAAAAAGGTCTCATTTCTCAAATATATAGGAAACTGAGACAAATATATAAAAATAAAAGCGAAAATTTCCCAGTTGATAAACAGTGAAAGGATATAAATGGGCAATTTTCAGAAGCAGAAATCAAAGCTATCAATCGTCACGTGAAAAAATGCTCTAAATCACTACTGATGAGAGCAATGCAAATTATAGTCTGAGATACCACCTCACACCTATCAGACTTGTTAACATGACAAAAAAGGAAAATGAGAAATGCTGGAGGAGATATGGGAAAATTGGAGCACTGCTGGTAGAGTTGTGAA